AGAGAGAGAGAGACGAGAGAGAGAGAGAGAGAGAGACAGAGAGAGAGAGAGACAGACAGACAGACAGACAGACAGACAACAGACAGACAGACAGACAGACAGCGCGCACCTCCTAGTCTTGGACAAGGTCGAAGGGCGCAGGCCGAACGAGAGTGCGAATCGCGAAAAAAGCGTAGACGGTGAAATTGGGTGTTGTTGAAAGTAGTTCGCTGCCCTGTGATCGGAAAACTCACTGACGAGGAGATTTACGACTCGCCAGGAATATTTATCTTTGGTGCACTTCAGTAGAACACTGATGGCCAAGTCGTAATATTGCGCAACATGATTGAAGTTTCAATTTAGACTCGTAATTATTGTATAAGTTGTATAATTGTTAGTCGAAACTAAAAAAATTATATTGATGGGAAAAACTATTACAATTGCGGATAAACAATTTTTTAAAGGAACGATTCCAAAGTGCTCGAAGAGACGCTAATATAAAAATTCCAATTAAAGGGCGATCTTTATTTAATAAATTTGAGTTACGAATCAAGAAAAAATATTTTTGTTTTTTCTACTTATTTATATTTCGATAAATTTAGTTCTTTCTTTAAATTTTAAATGTCTCTTATCTGTTCTCGTAGAAATGCTTTTAAATTTTTAGTAACTTAAGCTACCAAGCTGAGGCTCAATCTCCAAATATTTTCTTCTACTTTCTATCGTAATTTCTCTCCGTGAAGTAATAACGATCCATCTTCGAGACATTGCGGCGGTCTTAAAAAAAAATATCGTGTTAATGGGAGGAGCAGTTCGTCCATCTAACAGGATGATATCGCGACGAGATGTGGTGCGTATCTGCTCTTTACTCCTTCGACGTAGGTGAGAGATATCACAAGCCGACCCTGCCCAGTTGCAGCGGCGTTGTGACGATAACCTCTCGCAGACTCTTTCCCCTTCTTACCCTTCCCATCCTTTGATTGCCCTTCCTCGTCGTGTAACTGGCGTGTACCCTTCATCTTTCCCTAGGCGTAGGGAAAGGGCGTCGGTGACCCTGCCAATCCTACGTAGGGATAGTGGAGCGAGGTCACGAGAGGTCATACGATTCCAAGCCCTTCAGGCGCCCTGCGTCATGCGGGGAGAAGAGTATAGTCGAGAGGATGGAGGAGGAAGAGCGGTAGCGGTAGCGGCAGCGGCAGCGGCGGTATAGAGCAGGTACAGGAAGCCTGTACTATAGGGATCAAGGTGCGCGGAGGAGCAGTCACCCAGGAGAGAGGAGAACACGCCGCGTGCGTGAGACAGGAAGCGCGGGTGTACGCGTATCTCGCATGCGTGTCTGCACGCGTGTACACGACGTCGACGTTGGCGGCGGCGATTGTGGGGGTCGATCGATGCGGCGAGACGCCGGGCGTCGCACTTTCCGCAGACCACTTCGCTCTCCAACCTAACGCTACACACAGTTCACCATCACCACCACCATCGCCGTTATCAGGGACGCTAACGATACTTACATACTCGTAGACATCGAGTTTACAAATTTACGAAAGTAAAACGCTGCGATGTTTTTTAGGCGAAATATTAAATACAACATTGTTTTACATATACATATTAACGCGTGTAACGAGAGAGATGATACTGTAATTTACTGTTCTACAGATATTAAACATGATTAATATAATGATAGTGATAATAATAATAATAATAATAATAATAATAATAAATTATAAATTTTAAGGATTAAAGATCAAAATGATAAATTAGCATAATAAAAAAATATCTGAGCAGATATTAGAGACGCGCTCTCTCTCTCTCTCTCTCTCTCTCTCTCTCTCTCTCCTCCTCTCTCTCTCTCTCAAATCATTTAAATGGATTTAAATATATATTTTTGCTACAGTAGTTTTAGATATTGTAATTCAATGCTTAAGCAATTCTCTGTACATTTTTCTGCAGACAAATAAACGTTATCGAATCCATTCGAGCGGGGTGCGACGCGATATCGCGCGTAGGGGCGCGCGGGCTCGTAGCGCCGGCCTTGTACAGTCGAAATACAGCCGGCGGCGGAGTCGATGGCACCGACACTGGATGCAGGAAGGACGAAGGGGAGAGGGTGCCGTCTCGCTCGCGGAAAAGCCGGCGGGGTTGTGAAACCACCCTCCGCTCCTCCCGGCTCCTGTCGACCGACCGACACACGGCGGCACAGTACGTCGACCCTCGGCCAACCAACCAACCAACTCCCGACGAACCCCTCTTCCCCCTCATACTACTATCGGTGTAGTAGCGCCGCGATGTCCGCCACTGACGCCACCGACGCTCGCTCGGCATCAATGAAAATGACGTCACGGCAAAAAGCCCCACGTTTAATTATCAAAGCTGCGCGCCTCGCCCCGCCTCGCTTCCCCTCGTCTCATCTCGCCTCGTCTCGCCGCAGCACCGTCGCGCTCGCGCGCAAGTACACGCGTGTTCGTGCGTGTGACATCGACGAAGAATCACCGCGCAATCGTACATTCCGCATTTAAGCGTCAAGTGTGGACGCATGCTCGGCGATAAGGTCGATTGCGATCTCGACAGACGCAAACCGAGATGCGTATATAGAATATAGAAAAGACTAGAAGACCTCGGGAGGCCTTATAACAGCAGCACTGCTAGCGCCTCTCTATTTTGCGACATATTCGTTTGTTCCTCTGTATGTATTGTAACTGGTCGAATACATAAATAAATAAATATTACAGAAAAAAGATTCTCAATATGATGGATAATAATAACGCTAATGAGAATTAGCGCTGTAACAGTGTAATTACATATTTAATTTTAATTACGTTTCTCAATAAAAAGTATCAAACATTTCAACTAGAATTTGAATCATTTTCAGTGCAAAAATGTAGTAAGGATATATCCCTGAATCCAATTTTGGTGAATAAAAAATAATGATAATATGTCACTCACGTCGATTGACTAAATAAAATTATTAAAAAACTTTTCAATGTGAGATGGCACATTCAAATCATTCGTATGAAATAAAAAAGAAAGAGTAATTATAAAATGGTTGTTATTTCAGATGGACAGGTTCAATAAGGGGGAAAAAAAACGCAAGAAAGCATAAATCGTTACATTATAATGAGAGTCTGTTGCATCTTCAGTTCAAGTCAATAATTGAGAGCAATGATGATTTTTAAGCTTTGACAAGAAACAATCAAAACAAAAACAAATAAATATATCAAAATATATCTGTACTCACTAAAGTCGATGAGTAGCCGGCCATAACCCTGTCTTTGATAAGGCGGTAGCGTTAGAATGCAGGACACATTGTAATTCAGGAAGGAGTTCTTCTCCTGAAACAAGTATTAAGATCTCGTTTAGCAAATGTACACTCAGCTCGCGAAAATTTAGTTGAGTGCTATATCGCTTCCAAGAGTGATAAAAATTAATGATATATTGCTACATGGAATAATTGGAAAATCATTTCCGTTAGGAACTATAGATTATCTGAGGTTTTATTAAAAAATGATTCTGTCTCGTGTTACGTAGGAAAAAAAAGCAAAGCTACAAATGCATTCGCTATTAAAGGCATGATCGATGATATTTTCCTCAGCGCGAACACGCCAGACACGTTCTATGAAAGTGTGACGTTGATGCAACGGAAATGCACGTTTTCGTGATGAGGAAGATAAGAACGCATTCGTAACTTAGATATATTTAGAATCCAACGCGATATCTGTGCGTCACGACTCGCGATCTTTTCGCGGGAATCGGGCTCTTGTCTGTTACGAATAGCTCGAAAAATTAACCAAAGATCATCGCGTACTCCATCGGGACGTTTCTCTTAAGAGACCGGCATTAATTTTTTATGGTGCCATCCTGTAACGGATTCGCGGAACTTGCGGAAGAAGTCACGCGCCTGAAAGAAAGAGACCGCCGCGATTCCAAAAATGTTACCCTTGGAAATAAAGCATTCGAGCGCTGAATAAGATCCATGTCCCCGTATTTTTAACCAAGCACGTGCACACGTCACACGGTTTATCATAAACTAGATAAAATCCTTTTCTGGAATTACGCCCAGTATATCAACCTTAAGTCATCTATTATGGAAGCCTCTTAAAATTCCGCTAAAACAGGCCTTGCTTCGCCTCGCCTCGCGCTCAAACTCGTCCCGAGATCTAACTTATCCTACTTGTGAAATAAACGTCTAATGTACAAGGTGTCTCGCATTCGGTTTCTCTAACCGAAGATGGCCGGACTTCTTGGCCATACGATCGGAAGGCTCCTTTTGTATTTGTCATGCCTGCCGACGTATCGCTTCCGCTCGAAGGCCTTTGTGCTAAAAAGGAATTTCTGGGAGGTCTTGTCTTGCGGCGCCGAGACACGGCAAGAGGAAATAAAATATCCTTGGACAGTCAAATGCACGATTCGAACACGTATGATGTAAAATTTACTATGTTCGATTTGGCATTGATAGAGAAAATATATGCGATGCGAGGGCTTTACAACGTCGCAAAATGCACGGAAAACCGAGAGTCGGGTGAGAAAAAAAGGGAAGGGTGAGAACGGTTGTTCCCGGGGTGAGTACGGTTAATCCAACCGACGCCGATGAAACGCCATTTCTGTAAAAGCACTTCAGCGCGAGAGGTATTTAAGCGTTGAATTTTATTGAATATAAATAATATTTTAGCAGACGGCAGGAATTATTATATCAGATATTTTTCCGCGGCGAGCGCCGGATGTCGCGAGACGCGACTGCAATGGATTAATGACCATCCGAGCGACGCAAAAGAAAAAGCAAAATCTCCCTTCATTCCTCTTTATTTCTCTTTCCCTCTATCTCACTTCCTGTCGATTCTCGCTATGAAAGAGGAGCTTAATCTCTCAGCCGGGATTACGAGTTATATTCCGGAGACGGCAACTATCATTTTCCGCGAAGTATTCTAGGGATCCGAGGATATACTTCGTTGGGTGGACGAAAGGAAATATTACAAAGCCGCAGTTACTTCTCCGAGAATGAATTCGGGAGGCATGCGGTGTCATGCGGTTTTCGTAAAATTAATAGTCATCGCGTACCTAGGGCACGGTGCGCTTCCTCTTTTTTCCTTTCGTCACAAAGGCTCGTGCAAAATCGCGAAAGTGCAGCCGCTTTCCAGCCGTGAAGGAAAAAAAATTATCGGATCGGCAATTAAGACCACCTGTCCTTTAATGCCCCGCGCGCGATGACGCGGCAACGCCACGTGACTCTTTTTCCGACGCGAGACCTGTCCGCTCGCACTTTACATCCAGTAAATCCTTAAGCACTTCAATACGCGGCGCTCGAACAAAATAGTCTCGATGGTATTCGGACACCCGGTATTTCCGGCCGTGCGTCGGCCGTGCTGTTGCTAACTGCCGAGGCAGCAACGGTCCGAAGGACACGACCCGTGGTCGGTGTATACGTACACACGATGTGCCCACGTGTGCATATTGGCGTGTTAACTGGCAAAGAAGAAGGCGAAGACGAGAAGAGAGGAATAAAATAGAGACAGAGCTGGAGGGAGGGAAATACACGTGTATACGGAAACAGAAAAGAGCGACGAGGAAGGAGAATTTTGGACCCTGAAAGAGCAACCGCCTCGAGGAAATTCATTTCTGTAAGAAGAATACAGAGCAGGTTAACTTTTATGGGAAATAGGGATAGATTTTCTTCGGAGTATCCCGAAACAGATTTACTGATGATGTAATGTCCAGAAAATATTGATGATTTATTAATCAATGTTATGATAGACTGTATATGAGGAAAATTCAAGGGAAGAAGGAAGACTGGCAATTTATTAAAAATCGCCAGATGAATGATATCGAAGGTAAGAATTGACACAACGGAGAAAGTATAGTGATTTAATGTAAGAGGATGACTACTCGTCTCGACGGTTGGTCGTCGGAGTTAAGTGAAACAAATCGACGGGAATGGAAATGAGTCAGCGAATGAGTTCCTAAAGTCTGAGTTGTCTCCGCCGATTCTATTCATTCTATCACTCCGAGAAATGTAAAATATACGGGATCCCATCAATCTCAAACGCATCAAAAATTTCTTCGTTATGACATCGAGGGCGAAGAAAGAGGAAACAAGAGAGGGGACGCGAGAAAATCTGGGGCCCGCGACGTCCTTGGGCCCGGTAGTCTCTGGGCTGCTCAGGGCCGTCTCGACGTCCCCACCAGCACCGTGACGAAGGAGGCCATGTACTTTTCCTTCTCCTGTTCTCTCTCTCTCTCTCCTCCCCCTTCTCTCTCTCTCTCTCTCTCTCTCGGCTATTCGGTCTTATTTCTCGCGCCGTCCGATCGCCCTGCGACGTCGTATAAAGGCACGGGGCACTTTGTCAACTCGTTCGAAATCGATCGGCGATGATAAACGGCGAGATTCGGATTCTGACGAGGGGGGATCGTGAATTCTCCGCCATCGAGGCCGCAGGAAATTCTCAATCAAAAGAGACACTCGTTGGCTTTCGCAACGAGAGTTTGTATCTCTGTGTGAGAATTAAACGATTCTCGACGATTAAGAAATAAATTTGCCTTTTCATTCGATTTTCTCACAACCGCTCGGACGATTATTTTCCTTTATTTCGATTTGAAGTCGAGATCAACCAGTCATACGAAATGTTTCTCGTCATACGAAATGTTAATCGAGCTATGATTCCGGTGGTTTAACACGCTTATGCTATATACACGGGATACATTCGTTTGATTTCGTTCCCGATCGCATCGAAATCTTTCCATGTGGAATCCTGGCTCGTGCGTCAATAATTACGATCCTCGTGGGCCGATGTAGAAGAAAAGTGCAGTTCTCTCGCCTGAGGAAGCGAGGTACAGCTTCTTTTGCGGATATATAGTTCGTCGGAATCGATACCAGCACTTCTCTCTCTTTCTCTCTCTCTCTCTCTTTCTCTTTCCTTCTCTCTCTTCATCTCCGGAACACGGCAAGGTGGCGCATAGAGTAACGATCGCGGACCACAGCCACGGCCCGTCGCGCTCTACGTGCGAGAAAGGAATAAAACAGATCAATGATCGTAACGATATACATATATACATATGTCTCTCGGGCAGCAACCGCACCATCTGCGCCGTAGAAACGATACTGTGCACACAGACACGCGCACATCTACTGTATGAGCAACATAGGCGCTCCTCTCTCTGTATCTTTCGATTAGCTTAGCCGACCTAACGAGAAGTTCAATAGTTTCATCAAATAGTTTCATCAAAGATCCACGACGTGGATTCACGCTCCGTGATCGAACCGCACGAACCGTACCGCGTGACAAATCAATCTCGAGATAAAGTAATGAGAATTCGAGAAGCATCCCTCCGTCATCTCTTATTAGACGCGGTACGAAGATTCGGAATAAAAGAAATAAAAACTCATACAAGCTGAGACAATTACAATCAGGACGAAAGAATAACCCAAATATTATCACAAAATTTCGAAAGTTTGATCTATCAAGGAAAAAAAAAAAGAACTGGAGAATTACCAACATGTGAATTAAGAGACTAGAAAAAGTACAAGGAACATTTTTGGTTGTTTTTTTTTTCATTCCATCTAAGATTTTCTTTTAGATAATTTTCATTTCAATTACGTTTGATGATATGTGAATAATAATTTATAAATATTTTTTAAGGATTCTTTTCTACTCGAGTGTCATCGTTGCAATAGTGTCTGCAACGTGTCGTTAATCGGCATTTATGATTTTTAAAAATACGAAACAAGAGTGGCTCTGATGCAAAATAATCACGCCACGAGAACCGTCGCCTCGAAAACGTACAACGCGTGTCGATGGCATTTCTACTCAGTTATATGCACCCGCACACAATTCACAATTCTCGTAGCGAGATAGCGAGTGGGCATTAAATTAATGGCGAGTGTTCTTTTTCGATCAATGAAGCGCGCAAACAGACAGCTCGTTATCGTTATTAAAGAACCCTTTGGCCGATTGATTGCAATTTCTGTGAACTCGCAATCTCAGAACGCAAGACTCGAATTTAACCGTTCCTGAAAATTCTGTAACTCCATTACATAATCTATTTTATTACTATTTAACTAGAAGAAAAGCAGCATGTAAAACATGATCGTCAAGAACAAATAGATTTGAACGAGTCATTTCCTTCTCTCGTTATTTCTCTCTTGTTGATCGTGTATAGTTCACGTAAGATGGTTCGAGATCGTCTGCGTGATCATCGCAACCGGAGTCTGAAAACGCATGCTCTCATCATCCTCTCGACGGATCGCGTCAACTCGAGTGAATTTACTATCCGAACACTCCGACTCCGAGAAATGCAGAAAAGAAAGATATTCGATGATGATGAAAACGGAGACAACGTG